ATTGAACCTTTTCTCTGGGAATCAAGGTCACCAGTGTGAAGATCAACAATGTGAACTCTATAATACAATCTGTGAATGCTAATATGACTTTGAGTGTAGTACAATGTCAGGAATCTAAGTGCTTTTTATAGATTTACTCTTTGCTCTCATTACTTATGTTTTCAGTGTTGCTGCTCCAAGTATCATCCCCTTCCCCACCTTCTTGTTTCAATTCTAAACTCTTATGTTTTCTGAAGTCTATCCTCTAGAGTAATATAAAATGCAGACAAATGAATCCCCTATTTCTTGCAGCATTAGTCATAAGAGCAAAACAAAAATGAAAATGTCCAACGTAAGAGTGAGTGATACTTTCAAATAGAATATGATGTAGCCATTAAAATTATCTTCACATGAAGAGGCTTTAATGAAATGAGGAAGTGCTTATGTAATAATGTTAAATGCAAAAAGCAGGATATAAAATTACAATAAAACTACCAGATACCAACTACATTTTAAAAATGCTTAGAGTGAGGAAAACATACCAAAGTGTTTACAGTAGTAAGATTACTGACAATTATTCTCAGATTATACTGTTCTATGTATTTCTGTTCATTTCTGCAATTAAAGTTTAACACTTTAAGTCAGAAAAAGAATTTTATAGAAGAAAATATCACATTGGAAAATATAACCTTCAGAACTATATAAAATAAAAATATATAGATTCTAGGTGAGAATTGAAAGCCTCTGTTGTATGGACTTGTCCACAGTTCTGTGACACGGTAGGGTTGTACACACATGGTTTTTGCTCACTTCCCATTTCTTTGCTGAATTCAAGGTTGCTAGATAGCTGAATTTTGTGGATGGGCAAAGCATTAAAGTATATATGTATTAAATGGGAAGAGAAAGAGAAAGAAAAAAAGGAGAGGGTGAAAAAATTCTGAGCCAATGATTTTAGAAAAATGTCTAAGTGTTTTTTTCATTAATTGGTTTTTTATTAATAGAAGTTTAGACACTACAAATAGCAGTAATTGTCATTAAGTCACTCAGGCTAATTTATCAGTGAATCAGTATTAAAGACAAATTAACCTTTCTAGAGACCAAGATATCTTCTAACTAATAATTAACTATCTCCTAAAACTGGGAGAGCTGAATCAAGAATGTGAGGAAGTCAAAACTAAGATAGCATAGAAAGAAGCTAAACAGTTGAAGCAAATGAGTGTCTTAGTACAGATGCTCCTTGACTTAGAATGAGATTATGTCCTGATAAACCTATTGTAAATTGAAAATATCCTAAGGTGAAAATTCATTTAATACACCTAACCTACTGAACATCATAGCTTAGTTTAGACTAACTTATATATGCTCAGAACACTTACATTAGCCTGTAGTTGGACAAAGTCATTTAACACAAAGTCTATTTCATAATAAAATGAATAAAGTGTTGAATGTCATGTAATTTAGTGAATACTATATTGAAAATGAAAAACAAAACGGGTGTACGTGAAGTACAGATTTTACTGAATGTGCATCACTTTTGCACCATCATAAAGTCAAAAACTACTAAATTAAACCATTCTAAGTCAGGAAGCTTCTCTGTAGGATGGTTATATCTGCACATATTGGATACTACTAGCAATTTTCTTTTTCTTTTTTTTTTTTTTTGAGATGGAGTCTCGCTTTGTCACCCAGGCTGGAGTACAGTGGCACAATCTTGGCTCACTGCAAGCTCTGCCTCCTGGGTTCACGCCATTCTCCTGCCTCAGCCTCCTGAGTAGCTGGGACTACAGGCACCTGCCACCACACCTGGCTAATTTTTTGTATTTTTAGTAGAGACAGGGTTTCACCGTGTTACCCAGGATGGTCTCGATCTCCTGACCTCATGATCCACCCACCTCGGCCTCCCAAAGTGCTAGGATTACAGTCATGAGCCACCACACCTGGCCTACTATTACCAATTTTCTATCCTAATTCTTTTGTATTATTATATTTTTCTGCTAAATAGTAATATTTTTTTCTTATCCTCTTTCTTTGACTGAAATCATTAACATATGGGTTATGGAGCTGGAGGTAGTGACTTTTGGTTTTGCAACACACAGTGACACTCATTCACTCATGCATACACATAGCCTATCCTCCCACATCCACTGCCCTGCATCACCTCATGCAGAGATGACCAAAGGCAAACTAAGCTCAGAGTGGGTGTTTTATCAAATAGATGTTGCTAGACTTTTCAAAGCTTCTGAAGATCACTTAAAAAACTTCCCCTCTGCCTTCCCAAACACTACATGCCAAGAAAAGACTAAGTTAGAATACGGCTGGCCCTTGAACAACATAGGTTTAACTGCATGGGCCCATTTATATGTGCATTTTCTTCTGTCTCTGACACCCCTGAGACAGCAAGACCAGTTCTTCCTCTCCTCTTCAGCAGTCTGTTCAGTCTACTCAAAGTAAAGACAGTGAGGATGAAGACCTTTATGATGGTCCACTTCCATTTAATAAATAGTAAATATATTTTCTCTTTTTTATTATTTTCATAAATTTCTCTAGCTTAATTAGTCATAATAATACGGTATAAATACATATAACATACAGAATATGTGTTAATTGACGGTTTATGTAATCAGTAAGGTTTCTGGTCAACAGTACGCTATTAGTAGTTAAGATTTTTGGGGAATCAAAAGTTTTATGCTAATTTTTGACTGCATGAAGAATTGGCATCCCTAACCCCCATGTTGTGCAAGGGTCAGGTGTACTTTACACTGGTTTAAGGGATAGACAAGGTCCAAATCTGTTCTCATTCATCACTAGTGGCATTAATTAGCATTTGCAATATGATCTCTAAGGACTTCCCCAAACATGATAATATTTTATTGTTATAATAGCCCTGTGAGATTACATTAGCCCAATTTTACAGATGAAGAAACATAGGTTCTAAGAGGTTAATTTGCCGAAGATCACACCAGTATTAACCTGGGGGAAGGCCTAGATCTTAGATCCTCTAACTCTCAATCTTGTGTTTATTTCCACCGTTTCATGCTACATTATTGACAGATTAATTCTATGCCAAACTATTAGCCCCTAAAAGCCATGTGCAAGTGTACCTCTGAGGATCAGTTGCTGCTCAACAACAGTGCAGGAGAGTGGAAAATTACTCCTGAGGCAGGAAAAACTTGAGTGGTGGGTGATTGCAGCTAATGTTCATGCTCACCTTGATGTCTCCTTGTGCCCCTTCATCCACTAGAATGCATCCCCCTTCTCTTCACAAATACTTGCCCACCATTTGCCCTTCAAGGTTTAAAATAATGCCCCCTCTACAGAATTTCATGGAAAATTTCAGCCATTTCTACTATTTCTTGACTCCACATTTCATCTTAACTTTAATAACTTGAAGATATTACGGGGTGTATTTAGTCCCAAACTCCTCAGAAATTTTTCTCTAGAGCTCATACATGTATGTTTTAGCCCCCCAGCAAGACTTTAAGCAAGATCTATTTTCTACATCTCAGATTCCTTTCCATGTTTTCACTGCTTTTCTCTTTGCTTCAACTGCCTAGTATATTGCCATGCATTCAACAAGTGCTTACTGAGCAAATGAGAACCTGCATCAGTGTAGTAAAAGCATAGCTTGATTCGTAATTAGGAAGTTGGTGTCCCAGTTTTTACAACTAAGTAACTGCATTATTTCAGGCAAGTCCATGAGTTTGTTTTCTCACCATAAAATGGTCATAGTGAATGGACTATATGAGTTCTATGATCTATAAGATGCTATGAATATTTAAATATGATTTTGGTTGGGACTGATCAAAACCTTACTTTATTCCATTAAGGATGAGAGAAGAGATGAATAAGAATACCAATGAGAAGAATATTGAAAATAACGAAAATGCTAGGCAGAAGAAAGCCAATGTGTCTGGAAAACGAAAAAAAAGCAAAGAAGAATCAGAGAAGCAGAGATGTCCTGGGCAAAACTGGAAATATAGATCCTGCCTCAGAGGGAGGTGAAGGGGTTAGAGGGTGGAATATACACGGGGGCAGCTTAGTAACTAGAAATATTGGTTAAGTGGTTAGGCGAATGTACTATAATGTTTTGTTTTGTGTGATTTGCTCTTCTGTTTGCTATTTGAACTTGAAATCAAGTGGTAAGAAAGTATTGAGCATGCATAGATTCTGATGAAGAAAATAAGATATATGCTAAAAAATCCTTGTAAAAATAGAAACAGAAGTTCTTGGCATTAATAGAAGAATACCATTAACATTTGACCATTAGAAACCATTTTTCCTATACTTTTTCCTCCAATTTTTTTGAGAGGGGGAGGTGGAGAGGTACAGCAATTTTAATCAGGGTCTGCTGCTTAAGTTTAATTTTATTAAAGATTTTAATAATTCCAAGTAATACTATACTCATTTAATTAAAATTGGGTCTTAGCTGACAGACCATATAATAGATTAAAATAATGTTATAAGGAGGAAATAATGTTATAAGGAGGTCTGTCCATGACTTCATTAATAAGCTCCCTTGGATGAGAAGAACCTATGGCAGGCAGTGAGATGAAGTCTCTGATGTGGTAGTGTCTGAGTTGCTAAGGAAAAGAAAGTAATGATTAGCTTAACAGTTTGACAAAAAAAAAACAAAAAACAAAAATACCTCTTTAGAAAAGAAAACAACTAAAATTAACTCAAATATTTGAATCAAATAACATTTCTTGGATTCTCAGATGTAAAAGTTTTCAGTTGCTATCCAAATTGAAATAACACTTTAGGAGTACCCGGTTAATAAAAGGCCAAAAAAAGCTCAATAAAAAAGACCAAAATTTTAAAGGTATTTGATATTTAAGATCCATTTTTAGGAATCTTCTGACCATCTTGAGACTAAAACTGCAGAGAAGAAACTTACTATTAGTCCACGTTACATAACTTTGAATCCAGTTTGCCCTTAACCTTTTACCAAGTTTAACCAAGGTTTATAATGAAATATTTTTGCAAGGAGAAAAAAAAAATGTGTGTTTTAAAAACAAACATACCTGCTTCATCATAGGATACGGTCAATTTTTCTAGCATTTCTCGGTCAATTGACAAAATCTGCTGTTCAAGGATGGTCTGGTAAGACAATACACTATTTTCTTTGTCTTTCTCGTAGTCCTGAAGATGCTGTTTAAGGGCCTCTGGGAGTCGAGATTTTACATATTCAGCTGCAGTCTGCAGATAAAACAGACAGAGAGAACTCCATTAGAAATTCTCCTCTTAGACTTTTTACTTACCCTCAGGTGCTACAGAGAAAGCTCAAAGCACTGTGAACCAACTCTCCAGACAGGCATGTCCTTGTCATCGTCATTTTAGTATCCACTGTACCCAGTAAGGTGATCTTCAAATAGACAGAATCGCAAACCTCTAAGAGTTTTCTACTAGGTTTAAAGGTATAAAAGATGATAGATTTGGTTAGATATTCACAGAATTAGTGCTCAGAGTTTCAACTATTATAGTGAACTGAAGGCCCCTGATAGTGATTTTGCTGGATACAAATTTGACTTGCCCTTGTCTACAATACAGAAGACAGTCACTCATCTCAGCAATGACCCCATCCATGCTATGGCATCCACATCCCTACTTTGTTTTGTTAGTCTCTACTCATTAATGTTTACACAAGAACTCTTGTAAAGTGAATTTTATAAAGGAGAGTCCTCTGCTAGGATCGATAATGAAATAATGGGATAAACAGAAAATGAGGAGATTTAAGACAAAGCCCCTTAACCTTGGTGGGGGGGGGCAGGGGAAAAAAAAAAACCTCTTCACCACTTAAATGCCTTAAGCTGACATATATATAATTCTTACTTTGACAAGTTTGTTGTTGTTGTTGCTGTTCGTTTTTTGCTTTTACACTATCTGTACAACACATTCCCAGATAGTTACATTCCAATTAGTAACAACTAATTACATGCAGTGATTTTCAATCAGGTAAGCATGTTCCACTTGGGGGTAGAGGGTAGGAAGGAAGATATGCATATTTTGTTTGTTTGTTTGTTTGTTTGAGACGGAGACTCGCTCTGTCGCCCAGGCTGGAGTGCAGTGGCCGGATCTCAGCTCACTGCAAGCTCCACCTCCCGGGTTCACGCCATTCTCCTGCCTCAGCCTCCCGAGTAGCTGGGACTATAGGCGCCCACCACCGCGCCCGGCTAGTTTTTTGTATTTTTTAGTAGAGACGGGGTTTCACCGTGTTAGCCAGGATGGTCTCGATCTCCTGACCTCGTGATCCGCCCGTCTCGGCCTCCCAAAGTGCTGGGATTACAGGCGTGAGCCACCGCGCCCGGCGATATGCATATTTTGAAAAGATTTTCCCAAAGATTCTGATATGTTCTTCTGGTAGGTTGCAGTGGTAGCATACTCTTTTCTCTCCAAGTTAAGAATCCCAGTGCTAGTTAAGCAGAATTTTATGAGCATAATTAAGTGACAGAGAGGCATGCATAAATCAGGGGAATTCTGAAATTTATAAAACTTCTCTCTTGGGAATGTAAAAAGTTTAGCATCTCCTTGCAGTACAGTCCTGCTTTACTCACATAGTGTCTAAGGTTAATAAATCAGTCAGTGAAGTCCTCCATATATTGTTCAAAATTATATTCACAACCAGTATAAAACTTCACACACACAATAACAACAACAATAAAAACTGCTGAAAAAAAAAACAATGAAAAGATGGTCTCTGGGGCAATCTTTTCTTAGAGTAAGGCAGACTTGTCTACACAGAAAATAAAAACCCCGTAGTGTTCTGTTGCACAGTGGGTGACTATGGTTCTCAGTAAGGTGTTTTATGTTACAAAATAGCTAGAATAACTGTTTTTGAATGTTCCCAACATAAGTAAATTATAAATGAATGAGGTAAGGGACATGTTTACTACCTTGATTTGAACAATATACAAGACATACATGTATTGAGACATCAAACTGTACCTCATAAATATGTAAAGTTACAATGTATCAATTTTTAAAATTCTGTACAGCTATTAATTATGCAATAAAATAAGTATACATTAAACATACATACTGATATATATATGATACATGCTAATCAACAGAGGTTCCATTTTTTTCATTTATAGAGTAATATCCTCTATAGCCTTTGGAAAAAATGAGATAGGACTATATGTGCTGACCAGGAAGAATACCATGATATATTGTTGAGGTTAAAAATCAAAGTCACAGAATATCAGGTATAGTATATCCTACAACATATATATATATGAGTACAATTAAGTGACACACATATTTAGTATTATCATATAGGCATAGGAGAGGATATGGAAGAACATACTCCAATTGTGGAAGACACTTTATTTTTTTATTTTTATTTTTTTGAGACAGAGTTTCACTCTTGCTGCCCAGATTGTAGTGCAATGGAGTGATCTTGGCTCACTGCAACCTCTGCCTACTGGGTTCAGGTGATTCTCCTGCCTCAGTCTCTTGAGTAGCTAGGATTACAAGCGCCTGCCACCATGCCCGGCTAATTTTGTGTGTGTGTGTTATTAGTAGAGCGGGGTTTTACCATGTTGGCCAGGCTGGTCTTGAACTCCTGATCTCAGGTAATCCATTTGCCTCAGCCTCCCAAAGTGCTGGGATTGCACGCTCAGACAATACTTTCTACGTTCCACGTTTTCGTATTGCTTCCAGGTTCTTACTATTGTAATTTTTTAAAATTGTCTTTAAAATGTATTTGGTTTGTAAAAATTTTATTTCAGTAGTTTTTGGGGAACAGGTGATTTTGGTTACATGAATAAGTTCTTTAGTGGTGATTTCTGAGATTTTGGTGCACCCATCACTGGAGCAGTGTACACTGTACCCAATATTTAGTCTTCTATCCCTCATCCCCTTCCCACCCTCCCCCTTATGTCCCCAAAGTCCATTATATCATTCTTATGCCTTTGCATCCTCATAGCTTAGCTCCCACTTATAAGTGAGAATTTATAGTTTTCCATTTCTCAGTTACTTCTCACAGAACAACGGTCTCCAACTCCATCTAAATTGCTGGAAATGCCATTATTTCATTCTGTTTTATGGCTGGGTAGCATACCATGGTGTAAATACACCACATTTTCTTTATCCGCTTGTTGGTTGGTGGGCATTTAGGTTGGTTCCACAATTTTGCAATTGTGAATTGTGCTGCTATAAACATGCACGTACATGTGTCTTTTTCATATAATAACTTCTTTTCCTTTGGGTAGATACCCTAAAATATACTTCTTTATAACCTTCCCTTTAAATGTTAACACAATTCAGGATGGATGAAAAGAAACTTGCCAGAACAATGACAACTGACTTCCCAGGAAAAGTCCACTGAGAAGTGGTGGTGAAAAGTTGTATTTTAGCCCCTAGAGTAGCCAAAGATAACACAACACGTTTTATTTCGAGATTTATATTTATATTTCCTAATTCTGTTGCTGACAAAATTACAACTTTAACATCACCAAACATTGTTCAATTTCTCTGCCAGCCAGCTAGTGCAGAACAAAAGAAATTATTCCATAAAATGTAAATGGACTCAGCACATTTGTGCAACATATTTAATTGTAGAATTTAATAACATTTTTTCCCTGACACTGGAAAATGAAGAGACACACTGCACAATAACTGTTTTTATTATTATTATTATTATTATTATTATTATTATTATACTTTAAGTTCTAGGGTACATGTGCATAACGTGCAGGTTTGTTACATATGTATACTTGTGCCATGTTGGTGTGCTGCACCCATCAATAACTGTTTTTAAACTCACACTACCTTGTTACTCAGTGTAATATCTGTCATTAATTTTCCTCCTTGAAATACCTATGAGGTACAGGAAATAGTTCCATAATTCACATTTTACAAATATTGATGTACTCTGTATTATTGAAAGCACATCACGGGATCACTGGGTAGCCATATGCAGAAGATTGAAACTGGACCCCTTCTTTACACCATATACAAAAATTAACTCAAGATGGATTAAAGACTTTAATGTAAAACTCCAAACTATAAAAACCCTGGAAGATAACCTAGGCAACACCATTCAGGACATAGGCACGGGCAAAGATTTCATGATGAAGACACCAAAAGCAACTGCAAAAAAACCAAAAATTGACAAATAGGATCTAATTAATCTAAAGAGCTTCTGCACAGCAAAAGAAACTATCATCAGAGTAAACAGACAACCTACAGAATGGGAGAAAATTTTTGAAAATTCTGCACCTGACAAAGGCCTAATATTCAGCATCTATAAGGAATTTAAACAAATTTACAAGAAAAACACAACCCCATAAAAAAGTGGACAAATGACATGAATAGATACCTTTCAAAAGAATACATACATGTGGCCAACAATCATGACAAAAAGCTCAACATCACTGATCTTTAGAGAAATGCAAATTAAAACACAATGAGAGGCTGGGCATGGTGGCTCACGCCTGTAATCCCAGCACTTTGGGAGGCCGAGGTGGGCGGATCACGAGGTCAGGAGATCAAGACCATTCTGGCTAACACGGTGAAACCCCGTCTCCACCAAAAATACAAAAAATTACCCGGGCATGGTGGCGGGCGCCTGTAGTCCCAGCTACTCGGGAGGCTGAGACAGGAGAATGGTGTGAACTGGGAATCGGAGCGTGCAGTGAGCCGAGATCATGCCACTGCACTCCAGCCTGGGCTACAGAGCAAGACTCCGTCTCAAAAAAACAAAAAACAAAACAAAACAAAAAAAACACAATGCGATACCATCTAACACCAGTCAAAAAGGCTATTATTAAGAAGTCAAATAATAACAGATGATAGCAAGGTTGAGGAGGAAAAGGAACACTTTTACACTGCTGGTGGGAGTGTAAATTAGTTCAGTCATTGTGGAAGACAGTATGGTAATTCCTCAAAGACAGAAAGACAGAAATACCATTCAACTCAGCAATCCCATTACTGGGTATATACCCAAAGGAATAGAAATCACTCTATTATAAAGACACACGCTCACATATGCTCATTGCAGCACTATTCACAATAGCAAAGACATGGAATCAACGTAAATGCCCATCAATGATAAACTAGATTAAGAAAATGTAGTACATATACACCATGGAATACTATGCAGCCATAAAAAAGAATAAGATCATGTCCTTTGCAGGCATATGGATGCAGCTGGAGGCTATTATCCTTAGCAAAGTAACACAGGAACAGAAAACCAA